CAGAGGTAACGAGGGGACAGGCCAACAGCCAGTGGGACGAACGAGGGACGCGACGGCGGCCCAAGCGGGAGGGAGCGGAGACAGTCGGCAGCGAGCGAAGTGGGTGAGACTGATGATGCTCCTTCGACTTAGGGAGCGGTTCAGCTGCTGGGCGGGCTTCAGGCTGGTGCTCACGCGAAAAGGAATCGACGCGATGTACAAAGCATACAACAAGAGGAGAAAGAAGAGGACGGACATCAGTGATGACGAAACAGAAGCTAGCGCAGACGAGGGCAGGGCAGACCCGGGGACTGGGGAGCCGGAGCAGACGGCATCGGCCGCCGAGGGAACGTTGGGAAGAGGCACGAGGTCGAGGAGGGCGGCGACCTCAACCGACTATGGAGGACCCGTCACCAGACGACGCAGGGCGGACGACGGGGAGGCGGAGCAGACGCGCAGGGCGAGACGAGGGAGGGAGCAGGATGTTGCGGAGATCAGCAGGAGGATGTACGACGAGATTAGGAGCAGCAGGGACCCGAGGGACCATGTGGAAGACGGCTAGTGCTAGTCCCCCATCGGGAGGACGACCCCGGCTAGTCGCCGACCACACCCACAAAGAACCCTGCACAAAGACCGCAGGGCGGGGACCTGTTCCTTTTTACCCATCTCCTAGTAGAGGTGTCCGTTTTATTTATGGCGATCACTTTGGTGAGTATTGCCACACCTTCGCCTCCTGCACCGCCCGCTCCTGGAGCGTCCTGCTGCCCCCCTCCCCCACCGCCTCCAGCGACATGCCGAGGAAGCGTGCCCGCGCCACCGAATCCGTGGTCGTCAAGCCCGAAAGCGTGGCCGACGAAGCTGCAGTCGCGACCAAGCGCTCGAACAAGAGCCGCAGGAAGCAGGCCGCATCGCCGCCATCTGCCACCGGACCCTTCCCAACGCACCGTTCGCCGTCCGAGGCGGAGGCACGCGCCGTGCACCAAGCGCTGTCGCTGCTCCACCCGGAGGTGATCGAGGAGCTCAGCAAGCCAAAGCAGGAGGAGGGCGGCTGCGGCTCGCGACACCTCGTGCTCGACGCCCTCGTCGGTACGATCCTGTCGCAGAACACGACGGACGTCCAGTCGCACCGCAGCTTCGCCGCCCTCAAGCAGGCCTTCCCGACGTGGGAGATGGTTCGCACGTCCCCGCCGGCGGCCATCGAGGCGGTGATCAAGAGCTGCGGCCTCGCCGAGACAAAGACTGCGCGGGTGCAGGCCATCCTCCAGCTCCTGCATGACGAGCGAGGGGAGTGCTCGCTCGAGCACCTGCGCGAGGCGTCCGACGAGGCGGTGAAGCGCGTGCTCGGCTCGTACAAGGGCGTCGGCGCGAAGACCATCTCCTGCGTCCTCATGTTTTGCCTGAAGCGGTTCGACTTCCCCGTCGACACCCACGTGTGGAAGATCGCGCTCGCGCTGAACTGGGTGCCAAAGGCCGCGACGCGCGATCAGACGTACGAGCACCTCAACGCGAAGGTGCCGGACGAGATCAAGTACGCGCTGCACGTGCTCCTGGTGAAGCACGGAAAGGTTTACAAGAACGACGTCAAGACGCTCCGCGAGACGCTGCGCCACTGCGAGGCGGGCGGGGAGGAGCTGCCCGGCGAGGACGCGCCGCCCAGCGAGCCGACCGCAGTCAAGCAGGAGGTCAAGCCGGAGGCGGTCGACTGAGTCTGAGTCAAGACACATCATCTTCATGCGGTGCGTGTGCGTCTGCTGTATATACACGTAAGAAGGTCAAGGGGTGGTACAGTGCGTGCTCTTGCCTTAGAAATCGGTGTTTAGAAATTGGCTGCTGGAAATTTGGCTGATTTCCCTGGCCGAAATAGAAATCGGCTGCTGGCACGAGGCCGGCCCGATTTCTCTACTCTGCCGCGCCGCAGGCGCGAAGAAATTTTTAGAAATCATACGACTTTTTAGAGAGAGGTCGTTCTTTCACTTTCTTCTCAGTCTACAGTCATGGTGAAACGCAATTTACACCCTCTCTATAGTGTGAACAGTGTGAGTCTTGGGCCCGGGGTTGTGTCTTTGCGTGAACAGTGACGCAACACGTCAAGTCCCTCATGCTCAGCTCTCTGGCGCCGGCTCCAGCAGGAGCCACCACTCGCTCGCGCCATAGTTGTCGGCGGCTAGCTTGCACGCGACACGGCCCGCGAGGTGCTTGGTGCCCGTCTCTTTCTGGGAGTAGATGACGATGTGCGTCGCGTCAGGCTGACGCCACGAGGAGCCCACGCCGAAGTGCTGCACGGTGCCAACGTACCAGCCGGTGGCGCCGTCGAGGAGGTGCGCGGCGAGGATCTTGCGCCGGCACAGCGCGCGCTGCTCGTCGTCGTTCGCCAGCGGCGGGCACGTCGCCGCATAGACGTAGCCCTTCGGGGGCATTGCCGGAGCCTCGCCGCATGCCTGCATGCGCACGGCGGTGTCGTCCTCGTCCTCGTCCTCTGAATCCTCCATGCCGTCCTCCGCCTCCTCCTAGCAAAACTCCTCGCCCTCCTCCTCGCCCGCCGCCTCGTCGACATCGGCGAGCTCCGCCTCGTCCTCGTCCGCCTCGCTCTCCCCGCCGTCCGATCCGCCGTCCTCGTCCTT